GGTGAGCCTTCATAATCAAACCTTGGGGAGGGTAGTCGTCCATCTCTAATATATCTTGGATCTGAGAGTCACACGAAGGGACTCATTTTGGGGGAGGAAGAAGGGGATATGATTTGTCCTTCACTATCTTTCAAAGTTCCCCTTAGCCTCTTTAAGTCTTTATACCATCCTTCCTAAGAAACCAGTTCCATATGTGTTGTTGGGTTTTTCTTTGCTATATAAAAGAGTATTTAGCTTAGTTTGATCTTAAAATTCTTTCTTGCTTCAAGAGATGCCCCTTGAAAATGTTCTAAAACGGATTGTGATGATGCTTGTACAACTCTGTGAATACAGTTAATGCTCACTAACGTTCTCGATAGGTTCTTGGAAACTTCAACTGTAAGCAAAATAATGTGTAACAAAGCCAACTTGCCAAAGGCTAACTGATACAAGCAAGAGTTAAGTTCCTACAGCGTATTTCTGGTCACAGCAACATCACCAAAATTCTAAGTAAAGACCCAAAACACTTCTAATATTAACCATTGAAACAAATCCAAGCTATACATCCATATAAGAAAGATTAATAGAACCAAGTAAGATCGTGTTTACCCAGTTTTTGGTGAGCCGTGATGGTGGGTTACATCAAGGAATAAAGGTTTGCAGTGTGAAAATTGTAAGGAGTATCTCCTTTCACCATACAATTCAAAACCAGTCACAAATGTGGCCAGCTCACAGAGTGCTTTCCTGCCACATTTGTTGTCTTGTGTCTGTGTGATTATCACATACTTGACAGATTTTTATTTTATGATAATTTGTATTCATTCATTCATTCATTTTCTAACCTACTTGCTCCAGTTGAGGGACCCAGGAGGCTGGTGCCTCTCCTGGCAGCTCAGGGCACCGGGCAGGAGCCCACCCCAGCCAGGACACCATCCCATCTCAGGGCGTGCTCACACCTACACCCACACTCGCTCACACTGGGACGGTGCAGGCGCTGGGCCAGTTCACCTAACAGGCGCAGCTTGGGGATGTGAGAGGAAGCCAGAGTACCTGAAAAAAAATACCCAGGCAGACATGGGGAGGACATGCCAACTCCATACAGATAGTGGCCCCAGCCAGGAATCAATTTTTTTTCTCGTCAACATTGTAATGAAACAACTTCGAACAAAATGTCATTATTCAAGAACCTGCTATATGCTATAAGTTGTGCACTTTAAAAATGGGTGAATTATATATCTCAGTTAAATGGGTGTGTGTGTGTGTGTGTGTGTGTGAGAGAGAGAGAGAGAGAGAGAGAGAGAGCATGTACACACAAGATTCCCCTTGGTTCAAAGTTCTAATACTTAATGAACAAGCCCGTGTGCTCAGTGTTCATTTTGCCTGTGGTTTTCTAAACCTTTTCATGTTACTCCCCTGAGCCCTTCCATTTCCTAGCTAAAGAGCTCTAGTTTTTTTTTTCAGTTTAACCTTCTGTACATTAATTTATCAACCAACAAGTACATATTTAGCACCTCTCCTGAGCTGCAAAAGACAAATTGTTATAGGGACAATGGTAATGGCAGAAAGGAGCAATTGTCACAGGAATTATTAATAATAAAATAGCAGTTGGAACCACAGCCATTCTGTTGAAGAGGCCACAATAGTGACTTAACTGTGATTGTCCGGAGAGGGAGCCAACAATTGAGTCCCTGCTAATGGGCCAACAGGGGAAGGGGTTGAAAAGAAGGAATGAGTGGTTTACATTACAAAGGGATTGTCTCAGAGCTGCTCAAGTGTGGTTATGAGGGGAGGTCAGGCTGGAGACAGAAGGGATGATAACCGTGGAGCTGTCAAGGGCATCTCAGGGGTTTAGGCAAGCGCTGTGGCAGCTAGACACGGCCGGCTGAGAGCAGACATGTCCTGGTCCTGCCTAGCGTTGATTGATAAAAAGGAAACACAATGAGAAGATAATCGAGCAAACCAGGAAGCCTGGGCAAGTGTCACAGAATTTAAAAGTAAGTCTTGGGAGCCATCAGAACCTTGGTTGAAAATACTCTTGGTTTCACTTTGACCAGAATTGGACCATTCTGTGGGGAATAATACTGTTGGAAGGGTGTGTGTGTGTGTGTGTGTGTGTGAGAATAAAATGCTCTGATTGGCACATCAACTGAAAAGAGTATGTCCTTGACATCTGATGAACTCCTTCTCATGGTTGTACATTTCCTAAATACACACACACACACACACACACACACACATGCATGCCCAGCTTATACCAGGTGCTTTAGGGTATACAAAAAATTATGAACACCTAGACTATAGTGCCTATTCCATTTGTCTCATTTGTTCTAATACTGACCTTTGTAGCATCTTCTCCTCCAGTCCAGGCTGCCCCCAAAGATTATGTATTGCATTTAGTTGTCATGCATTAGAGAGACAGAGCAAAAGAATTTAATGAAACAAAATGGGGCAAAATGTTAAATATTGATGAATCTGGGTAAAGGAATGTTCTCCCTGTGCGACCTCTGCTGACCTCTTTATCCCAGTCTCATAAGATTTGTACTCTTGCCAAAGACACTGCAGCCCCAGTGGCATTCTTTTTGTTCTTCAAGCAAGCCAAGCTATTACCACCTTTAGGCCTTTGACTCGGAGCCCCCTCTTCTCTCTGAGCTGCACATGGCTGGCTTCCTCTTATCATTTAGCTCTCAGTTGAAATGTCACTTCCAAGAGAGGACATCCTGCTCACTGAAGTAATGACTTGCTATCTTTCTGTATTAATTATCTGCCTAGACCCTTGTCAGCTAATAATTTTGTCTGTCTTTTTCACCCGTGTATCCAAGCATCCAAAACAGCACCTCACACTAGTTAGGTGCTCAAAAACTATTTGTTGAGTGAATGAACTGATCTGCGTGTCCAGAAACATGGAGTCATTACAAATGATAGCAATGCTTTATGGATGTGCTTTATGCAAGAAAATGCTTTAGAACTCCAATCAGGGGACATATACTCGAAAAGAAGACCTTGGTCCTACATTAGAATATTAGTGAATTAATGCACATTTATATGCTACAATTTAATATTAAATGTTTAAGATATATAAAATCTTTTTTATATTGTCCACTCTATTAAACTTTTTTGATTATGAAATAAATATATAAATTGTACTGCTTAAGAGGACATCTGTCTATAAATATATATATATACATACACAATTCCAATTATATAAGTAGTATTTTTTTTATATATGAGTATAAAAAACAGAAAGGAAATATAAGAAAATAATAACTCGTCACTTTAGGAAAATAGAATTATGAATAATTTTTACTTTTTTATTTTCCAAACTCTCTGCACGTGGTTCCATTATTTTTCTAATTTATAAAATAATTTTGAGAGACAAAAACATAATACAGGATATATAAGATCCTAGATAAAACTGTAAATGCAATTTGGATATGGAAGGATTTTCTTGAATTTGGCATGCTGAGTGAAGCTGTATGGAAAATCGTGGTAATTTATCTGGGCTTTGAAAAGACTCATAGGATTATTGAGGGTGAAAATACAAGGTAGAGAGAAGTAGAATGAACTGAACTTTAGGCTGAAGAAGTAGAATGAACAAGGGTAGGAAGGGAGCTGCTAGCACATAGGAGACCATGAGGAGACTGGCCTAAGGGAATGGAAAGCTTATGTGTAGGGGCTGGTAAGAGAGCTAAGATAGGATCACATTTTAGAAGATCTTTTAAATTGGGCCAAGAGGTTTAGATTAGAAGTAAATAAGGAAGTTCTTCTTATAAAAAGGAAAGTAGATTCTTGAGAAAAAGGATAGCATGATGGCCTGGGTGTTTTAGGAAGATGGCTGTGTGCAGGGAGGGAGACAGAGCTGGCCGTTGGGAGGTATAACACCAGTATACATCTGGTGTCCATGGCAGGCTCCAGAATCAATCACAGCCCTGCTCTGCAAGATACAGCCTTAGAACCGTCTTGACCAGCCCTGCAGTCAGCCATGCCTAGTCAATCCCAGTGGGCTGTGAAACTCGATTGCCTCCTCTGTGTGTCCTACCAGGTGGGTGAGCCATGCGGAGGAGGAAGACAGGAGAAAAGAGGTTCAGGCCCAAAGGACAAAGACTTTGACTTTAGTAGTTCTGAAAATATAAGAAAGATATGTTTCTGGAGATGTTTCTTTTGTATTTGTAGGTTTGTGTTTTAATTAGGGCCAGAAATAGAGATCTTTTTGTATAACTCATTATTCAGTTGTTTTAGAAATGTTTTGCTTTTTATTTCCAGGTCTTTGTCACTAGTGTACAGTTTCTAGGCACTTGCTTTTTTTAGAAATAATTTTTTTCTTAAATATTTAATAAACCTTGAAAATAGTAACTCCAACAAATGATGTGCCAAAAAAAAATAAATAAATAAGACTCTCACCCGTTTTTAATCTAGAAAGATTTGGATGCACCTGCTGTGTCCACTCGTGGGAGTTAAGTTGTCAGAATATGTTAAGCCACTATTTTGGGGTTTTAAAAAAAAGGTTTTGTTTTCTGTTATTTTTTTAAGAGCAGGTTTTAGATTGCAAAATAGCAAACAAAATTAAAAATAAAATGAAATTGTCTCATGTGTGGTGGAGGTGGGGGAGCTTCTCTTCTGTCAGTGTGTGGGCTGCAGGCAGAACAGAATGTTTATCTTAACTGCCTGTTGAATTTGGAAAATAAAGTTAGCAATAGCCAAAAGGCCTTCTTGTGAATAACTTATCACAAAAGGGAAAACATAAATCTAGCAGCAAATCAACTGTCCTATATACGCTAATATTTCTTAGATGGGTCCGTGAACATTGTTGCTTCATCATATGAAATTTCATTTCTTCCCACTCGATTGGTTCAAGGTCACTCCCAGGACCTCTGATTCCAGGTTTGTTGTTGGCACCAATGGCAGCTGCATTTTTTATTGATGACTTTTCTTTTTCCTTTCTTTCTCCCTTTTGTCCTTTCTTCTTTTCTCTCTTTCTTTTTCTTCCTTTCTTTTTCATTATCTATGTATGGCTCATGGTCAAGAGCTTACAAGACCCTATGAAAAAACTAGTTGAGAAAGAAGGAAAGAAGAAGACCGCCCCACAGGAAAGCACAGATGCGGCAGCGCGGGAGCCGAGTCAGTAAGTCACGAGCTGCTTCTCTTGGCACGGTCTTTCTTCCCACAGGTGAGGGTAGCACGGTCCTCACCCACCCAAGCTAGCCGAGGTTTCAGACACAGAGTCATTGTCTGACTTCCTCACTTCTCAGAGTGGATGTACTCACATCCAAGCCTAATGCCTTCCGCACACATTCCTGCGAGGCCATGACTCACTTATTCCAGTAAGAGACCCATTTCAGGGGACTTAGAAGGGGCACACTTGTGAGGAGTTGACTGGGGCAAGAAAGGGCCAATGTCCCCAGGCCTCCTGCCTCTCTGTCTCGTGGCCTCGGTTCCAGCTTCACACTCTCTCTGGTCTCTGGACCCTTATCTCGTCCTTTTGTCACCACTAGATGCTCTCCTAGACAGGAAACTCCCTGGCTTTTCTCTCTTGAAGGAGCTATGAAATTGCATTAGTCACACGTGTAGTACGAAGGCATCATTACACAACAGAAGAGTTGGGCTTTGGCATTTTGTTTTCCAGCGTCACGAATTTCTGTTTCTCCTCTGTGGAGCAGAGAACAGCTTCGAGTGCAGGACGTGACTGCCCCATCTCCATTTCTTGCCTCTTAACAAAGAAGGTTCCTCTTGTCATTTTAAATGCCAAGACGAACTTTTCAGCATATGTGTCGCGTGGTTCCTAATCTCATGCAGTGAGAAGGAGGTTTAAACATGAAGCTATATTATTTTCTACACAGATTTAATAGCGTGCAGGAATACATTCATCTTTGAACTGGCTGGCCCAGGAAAGCCAGATAGGTGACCTTGCCTCCATTCACTCTTTCCTTTTCAACACAAAAAATATTTACATGACAATCTTACGGGAAAACAGGGTTGGATTTTTACTGCATTTTAAAGTTTCTGATGTATTTTTTGACCCACAGATATATTTGCTGTCAATATTAGCTCTTCTTAATTTTAAAGCAAATACAGGTTAGAAAAGTTTTTGGTGCAGAATAAAGACAAGTTTTCACTGTATAATAGACTATAGAATGTGATCTGAATCTAATAAAATTTTAAGGGCAACCAGCTTGACCTACTCCTGGTGATGGTAATGATGCAAGCTATCATTTAGTGAGCACCTGTGCCAGGTACAGTCTGGGTGCTTTAGTTATGTTAACTCATCCTCATAATAACCCTAATGTAGTCAAGGTGGTGTTTTCCTCACTGTATAAAGGATGGCTCAGAGAGGTTAAGGGACTGTCCGTGGCCCCCAGGGTAGGAAGAAGCTAAACCTGGAGTACGTCTTTGCATCTTCTTTTCACTATATAAGTTAATGCAATCAAAATAAAGCAGTCACCTTCACTCAGAAGGGGACCACCTAGGATTTTCTTGATTTTTTTTTAATTCATTTCAGATTTCTCAAATATTTTAGTATAACACTTCATTTTTAAAAGCTCAAAAAGTACAACCCAGTAGCTTTAAAATGACAGTGAAAATTTAACAAGAATTTTCTTCAGAAATAGCAGGTAGAAGTGGGCCATGGTGCTAGGAGGAAGATTCAGAGGCAACAAATGGGTCTCTGGTCAGTGATATATCTTTGTCTTTGAAGATAGGGTAAGAGTTGAGTAGGCGCCTGTCCACCTGGATTTGAGAGTGATCCTTTCAGCCTTGTGTAGTTTAGCAAACCTCCTGAGGTGTCCTGTCCTATAACAGCAAGAATCAGAATAAATCAATGTTTGATCATTGATTTTTTTTACTATGTTTTTAAAAGTGATAGCTGCATGCATCTATTTTCTTTATACCTAACTACCCATCTAGCTATTGACAGAATATTTGCCTTATGATGAAACCAAATTTCAGATATTAAGATGCTACAGAAAGAGACAGAAAGCCAGCAAATTTATTTCTTCTTCAGAAAATGTGTAGCGTATAAATGACTATACGTTGATATTTCTTCCCATGCGTGTGTGTTTACGTGTTTGTATTGTTATAAGTAAAGTAATAGATATTGTTCTTAAAATCTGGCTATATCATAAATATAACATTTGCAAAACTTGTATGACTAAACTTTTTTTTTTATTTTAAGATTAATTTCATTAGAGGATGAAAACCAGCACAAGGAATCCTCTAGTTTTAAGAGTAAGTGTTGATATTTATTTAGAATTGCTTTTGAAATACTACTTAATGCTCAAGAGCTAACTCTTTTTCTTTCTTGGCAAACTTATCCTAGATCTTTCTTTTCCAGTTGAGAAAAGGCTAATTTGCTTCCTATAGATTGTCTTCAATGTTCATATATGAACGACGTCAACCCTATAGCATTACTTAGAGAATCTATGGATTTTGAACCAAAAAATAGCATCACTGGTTACGTCAGCAACAGCTCTTTAGAGCAGCAGCCATAATCAAAACCTGGCAAAAAGCTATTTCTGTTCACAACAGATGATAAGATTTCTGCTGTCACCATTACTAGTTCTAACAGCTATTCGGGCTGCAGGGATAGCTTTAATAAGATTGTGTTATTTCATCAGGAGAGTTTGATTTGCAGTGACTTGCAGGGTGGGTGTTGGTCATAGTTGGGAACAGATGGGGAGAGATCATTCCCTGCTCTACCAGATGATTCTACAGCCTGCCAGGGATGAGCCATACCAGATCCTCAGGTGAACGGAACCTGCGTGTTAGGAAACAGAGTCAGGGCATGGGGAGATGGCACACCGTGCCGTGAGGGGCTTATCAGCTCTGTCTCCTGCTGTTACTGCCAGTGTTTTCACTGGCCCTTCACCTCCTAAAGGGCTAGAGGCCACGGTCAGCTGCAGCAGAGCAGATGTGATGCAACGCCCAGCATTTCACTAGCACTTGAAGTCCTCCAAGATGCAGGGAATGTTTTACAGGTGTTATGAAGAGAACTAAAATTACCCCGACTCTGTTGAGTCTGGCCCTCGTGGGGACATATCCGTCTCTGGCCTGCTTCACCCGTTGCCCTGGCAGCCTTTCCGGGAGACAGAAGGAGGCAAGACAGATCCTAGAACGTCCCCTCTGCTCTATTCTCCTCCATCACCCTCCATCTCCCTCTGCCTGCCTTCCTGTTTTTTCTGACCACTTGTTTCGCCTCCTGTATTCTTCCCTTTATTCGTTCGTTTGTTTTTTCCTATCTGCCTGTCAAAAGAGAAAACAAAGCCAAAAATAACTCACTTTTTTGCCTCTGATGCTTGGCTTCATGTTGTCCGCTCATGCGTGGCTGCCTTCACTTACGCATGTACTTGTTCCTTCGTCGAGCAGATGTTTACTGAGAGCTGCCTCTGTGCCAGGCACGGCACTGGGCCCTGGGCACACAGCAGTACGCCAGACATGCTCAGTCCCCTCCAGGATGGGCCTTACAGGCAAAAGGGGAAGCAGATGGTAACCTACTAATTACACAAGTCACCGGGCAGCTCCAGCTCTGGTGGGAGCTCCCAGGGAGAGGTGTGGGGCCATGGGGCCGTGTGTTAGAGCGGCCACACCTGTTTGAGGAGAGTAGGAAACTAGCTAAGCCAAGTACTGTTGCAAGGTTTGTCAAAGCAAAAGAAACAGCTTGGACAAAGGTCAGAGAAACCATGTTCCAGACCATAATGAGGAGAAGGTGGCAGGAGGCTGGGCCTGATCTCATTGGCAGTGGAAGAGCTCTCTGTCTGTACAGACCCAGGCCTCCAGCCTCATCGTACCCACAGCACGAGTCACTAGTGTTGTGGGAATCCAGGTAACCGGATAGAAAACTTTTAGTTCTGTGGGAAAATGTAAAGTGCAGTGTATTCTATTGGTATACAAGTTGCAAATCTATTTATGTGTATATTCATACAATATGCAACAATGCAAGGGAATCAGATTTTCTCTTGTACAGTATAATTGCTTGTGGTATTTGTATGATATTTTGAGATTGTAAATGTTGATCACCATGTTTTGTCTATGCACAGAATGGAATCCATTATAATGAGGTATTATCTGTCTTTTATTCTGTGACCTGCAGAAAGGCTAATGAACACACGAGCAAACCAAGTTTAAAGGCTGTTCTATTATACACGCACTACACTTTATTGTTTAGAACAGTTTTTTTGTTTCACAGTAAAATTGGGCACAAAGTGCAGAAATTTCCCATATGCCTCCCTCCCCCCTACGCGTGCATAGCCCTTCCCTCTATCAACATTGTACACTAGGCTGGTATATTTGTGACAGTCCATAAACCCACATTGACGTCATTATCACCCAAAGTCCATAGTTTACATTCACTCTTGATATTGTGCATCTTATAGTCGTTACAGATGTATAATGATGTGTACCCATCATTATAGTGTCATATAAAATATTAATAGTTTCACCGCCCTACAGATCCCCTGTGCTCCACCCATTCCTCTCTCCCTCCCCTCTAACCCTTGGCAATCAGTGATCTTTTTACTGTCTCCATAGTTCTGCCTTTTCCACAATGTTATATAGTTAGAATCATATGGTATGTAGCCTTTTCAGATTCACTTCTTTCACTTAGTAATCTACCTTTTATTTTAGCCAGGCCCGTATGGCTACAGTTCATTAGTGTCATCAAGAAATAGTCCATTACTTAAGTCACACATTTGTCCATGGAAGGAGAATTGTCAGATTGCTGTCATATATAATTTTCTGGGTTATCTAGCAAACATTCAGGTTCACTCTTGGTGTTGTAGCAAACATTCAGGGCTGTTAACTCAGCAATCATTGAGAGCCAATAATAGCTGGGGTAAAATGTAACCTTAGGACCCCTGTTTCTGCCTGAGAGAATTTGTGGATGCTGTTTCTTCCTGAGCTGTGTTTTACCAACATTGCGATAGTATATGAACATGCACACCATTCTGAGTTGGTGATAACCAATTGCACATGTTATATTACAGCTGAAGATGGGAAAAGTATTTTATCTGCCTTAGACAAAAGCTCTACACATAGTGCATGCTCAGGTAATCTAGATTAAGGAACTCTACTCCATTTTAATAATTTGACTCAAACGCCTTACGAAATGAAACTGACTCATACTTTTGTTTTCTTGCCTCTCCTCTAAAGGACCTATAGATGAACTGATAGACGTGAAACCTGAGGAAGGTGGTAAGGTTTATGTATTTCTTTTTTTTTTTTTAGTGTATTATGGGGGTACAAGTGTTAAGGTTACTTATATTGCCCATGTCCCCCTCGCCCCTCGAGTAAGAGCTTCAAGCATGTCCATCCCCCAAACGTTGCACATCTTATTCGTTGTGGTTGTATATAGGTTTATGTATTTCTTTGGTGTTATAATTTTTTAAATTTTTAATTCCTTTTTTACATGCAAGAACATGTAATGTTTATCTTTTTAATAGTTCTGTATTTCTAAGCAAGTTGTTTTTAGGTGACCATCTTTATTAATGACTTTCAATGTGCCCAGTCACAAAGTAGTATATGTGGATCTGTCATAGTTAGTATAATTAATTTCATAAAGTTCGAACTACTAAAGCAAAAAGTTATGTCAAAGGTCACATGCTATAGTAGAAAAAAACATGGCTTTCAGAATCAGACAGCTGTGGATTTGAATACTGGTTCTACCATAAATGGCCTGTATGGCTTTCAGTAATTTGCTTTATACTGAAACTCTCTTAAGCCTCAGTCGTTCTCATGTGTAAAATGGAACCAGCAGCAACAGCCTTGATGGGATTGTCAGGGCTGCAGGACATGTATGTATATAAAGGGTGTTTCATGATCTCTGACACAGGGACACTATTCAAACGGTCACCACTTGGGGTGGTAGGATTAAGGATGTTTTCCAGGTGGTTTACTGTGCTGCATCTCTACTGAACCTTAGATTTGCCTGGTTAAGTCCTACCCAAGTTCATCAGACCTAAAATCACTTGCTGTATAAGCCCCCAAAAGAGAATATAGAACTCTGGATTTGGATAAGATATGGATAGTATATTAAGTGATCCCAGGAAATTGTGTGTGTTCAGCCTAATCAGAGCCTCTGCTGTCCATCCTACCAAGCATTTCCTTTTAACAGCATATAAAGAGTCCAAAATACCCCTGAGATTTGGAGCCAAACTCCAGAGCATCTCATGGCCTTGTGGCTGGCACACAGGCTGCCCTGGTCTTGCAGGTTTCTCACAGGACTAGAAACTGGCCCAAATCATCCACAGGCCCCAGTTAACCAGGGCAGATGACTTAACTCGGTCTGAGCTTATTGTGGATTTACTTCAGAGGATGTGAGAGGAAGAAAGTCTCTGGAAAACAGAGGACATTAATTAAAGTTTTTTTAAAAAATGGAAAGGCACCACACCTCTGGCATTAGATTTCTAGGGCTTAGGAATATAAACTTGAGGGCAGAAATTTGCTTACCTTCCTGCAGGCAGCATACTGTGCAATATTCTGTGACTGTGCATATTTTATCAAAATGACTAGTCATTTGTAAATATTGAAATCTACCAGGTAATGGGAATAATAAAAAGTTCATGCAGATTGCCACAAATGGCCTCCATTTTTATAAAAAATTTCCCCCCTCGGCTTAAGAACAGAATATTGTGGTGGAATAAACATGTTTTTTATAAATTACTTTTTGGAGATGGAAATATTTTAATCTTGCAAAAATCAGATAAAGGCAATAACAGAACAAGCCTAAGGACCTACCACCCAGTTTCAACAAGTCTTAACATTTCACACATGTTTAATATTTATAATCACATATATGTTTCAACTTATTTTGATAAGAAGATTGTTATTCCTCCTATTCCCCATATCTTATTTATGTCATTTGCTCTTTGCTTTTATCACCTTCTTTAATGTTATTATTTAATAAACTTAATTTTTGAATAAGTACTTTGTTCACATTGGTACAAAAACCAAATTATAATAAAAGCGTGTACAGTAAAAGAACTCTCACTCCGATCCCTCTCCTCTAACCCTCCCTATTTCAATACTCCCATCCCCACACATATCCTTCCAGTGTTTCTCTATGAAGAAATAGTAAATATGAGTCTATATTCAGTTTCTCTCTCTCTTTTCAAAAAAAAAAAAGGTTCTTGGCTTTGGAGTTTGATTTTTTAAAACTTGATAATAATGGTACAACACTAGCCTAGTAGTTATGCATTTCTTCACAGAATTAAATTAGAAAGGCAGTAGCCTGAGATAGATGCTTACTTTCATAGACTTCCTCAAACGCTTGTGCCAAGATACATTGGAATAAGATTGATATCTTTCTATTTGTTTAAAACAACTTTTCGTATCTCATTGGTTTATGATTATGATCTTTGTTAGTTTTGCAGATTAGCAGCTCATATTCTTTTTTGTGCATTCAGTTTAATTCTAAAGATAAAAATACAAATGTGCTTTTCCCTAAAATGTGTACTTGTTCTCAAGCAGAAATACTATTTACGAATTAAATCCAATGTCATTTAATTTCTCCTTTCTCTTTATCACTGCCAACACACAAATCCCTTACTCTGACACAAGTGATGCTTCCCCACTATCTGCCTCTTTGTCTGTGTGGTCAACCCATAGGGTAGCATCGGCTTACCTGTTAGCGTGGCCACTAGCATAAAAATATTCTCTCAGTGCACAGAGAACTCATGGTGACTGAAGAAAAGAACACTCATTAATGGGTTGACTTCAAAACGTGTGCCCTTTGGAAAACTGCCGGAAGGCCCAAATCCTGAATTAAAATGCTGATTACAATATGCAAGACATTAAACAGTCAAGAAATAAAAGAGCTTAATCCAGGGATGGCTGACTTTATAGGACTTGAGGGCTATAAGCTCTAGCACCCTGCTGCTTGGGGGCCGGTTCACTCCCAGTGACAATTCGGTTAGACAATGGCAATAGCTAAGGTATGTTATCAAATAGCAGACCGCCTCTGACAACAGCAACGATTCTCAAAGAGCCATTGCTCAGAAAATCACTCCTATTCAGTGTCATAATGAAATTTGCTTTCTCCTACTAAATAGATAATGTAATGGAAAACCAACATTTGACCACAGATTATAAAAATGTTTTCAGTGAAAAAGAAACTTAGTGACATTTTGAGCTACTTGAAAGTGGCTCTGAAATTGCCTTGTGACCACATGTGACAATCCAACCTCAGTTCATGAGTTATAGCATGTCTTTGTGTTTCTCAGAGTGGGACCAAGAAAAATAACAGATAACTGAATTAAAAAGTGGGGTTAAAAAGCAGAAAGGAGTTCAATAAAATTCAACTCACCTAAATCTCATAACTTGGCTTTACCTAAAAGATCTTTATGACTAGACTGACCTAGCCAATTAAAAAAAAAATTTAATTGTCCATATTATAACTAAAATGTTTGTCTTCTGCTACTTCCTTGGTTACTACTTGCAGACTTGTGTTTCTAATTCTGGCTACGTATCAGAATGACATCTCATTCAGTAGCTGCTGTAGTTCTGGGTGACAACCTTTAGCCCATAGCAATCACCCATGTTTATCTCTCTGCGCCCGGTTTCTCCCGAGTCACTCAGAACTGTCTCCTGCAGTTATCCATGTATTACTGACAAGCGATCCGATCGCTTCCTCACACACAAGGTGGCAAGTACTAAGCTCGTTATCTTTTCTCCTAAACTTTTCCTCCACCCTGTCTTCCTCAGTGTCCTGGGATGTACTGCTGGCTTTAGTCCTTTCAGAAAACAACAGTACTTTTTAAACCAAAATGCTGCTGTTAGTTATTACTATGTAGTCTGTTGTGCTCTGTGTTGATTTATCCCTATAAAGATTTCTACAAAGATTCTATAAAGATTTTCTACCCCTGCCCCAGGTTGTATATTTTCTAGTAAGATTACTCAGCTACTCAGATCTAGACTGAAATGGAGAGAAGGCGTGAGGCTTATCAACAACTTTTTGTTGTTTGGGTTTTTTTTTTTTTTTTTTTTATGTTTTTTGGTGCCTACTCAGGGCCTAGCATTGTTCGTTTGATTTTTGTTTATTTCATGTTGTTTTTTTTTTCCTCCCCCAATCTGTTCTTATTATAATGTCTATCTTTTTGCACCAGAAGGGAGTTTTTAGAATAGGTATTCTTGAATTCCAAATGGGTGCCATTCATTACCAGAGCCTTTTATAATAAAAAACATTTTTTTTCTCGTTAGCCATTTTTGTAAGGTGGTTTCCTCCTTATCTTTTCCCCTGACTGTCTTTTGGGTGATGTGAGGAGAGTGTTGGTGTTTGGGGTTTTTCATCTACATCGCAAGTGTGTGGCCTTTACGATTAGTCATAATGTCAAGAGTGGGGACCAGGGAGAAACCAGCAAGAGAGTCTTCCTGCTTCACACGCAGATGAAGGGAAATTAAGTGACATTTATCTGTTTGTTTTCCTGTGCTCTCGTTTTTGGTCTATGTAGTTATGTTTCCATCTTCTGTGTTCCTAATTTATGCTGAGGTCATGAAACTCGGTATGATTTCAAAAATACTACCTGAGTGAGCTGTCGCCCGTTTCCCGCACTCTGTCTGAACTTGAGAGAGCTTCCTCTGAATGTGAGCTTTCACACCGATATCGCTCATTGGTTCAGGGTTAGTTCTTCTAGGGGATGTTCTTCTCCCAGGGGTCTGGGGTTTTTATAATATTTTTGAACCCTTGGGCAGTGCAGGGCAAACAAGCTGAGTGGATCTGCCATCTTGCCCATTCTGCCATGGTGCCTACAGAGTGCCCAGCAGATACGAATTTATATATGAGATCCCTAGTAGGTGTGACAGTGAGAAAATACTTTGACCTGCAAGCCAGGGGTCCCCGGCCAGATCACCTGTAATTAGTATATGACGTTGGGCAGGCCTTCTAACCTGGATGTCTTTTTTCTCATCTGTAAAATGAGTTAGAGGCCAAGATTTCTAAGATCCCTTTTGGTTACCAAAAAAAAAAAAAAAAAAAAATGTATGATTCTTCTTATTGGGAGAAAACAGCAGGTTCTCAGACAGGAAGGCAGGAAAGCATGTTTGAGCAATGGCAAGGAGAGGAGTTTTGCTGAACCGTAGGCTTTCCAGATGGCCGTGTTGCCGGGTTGCTGTTAGGGCTACATTAGCACTTGGCTGTCAAGGTCCAGAATACCACTATGAGGAGGGCTGCTTTACTCCATAGTCGGGGAGCCCTTGGAGCTTTGTAAGTGAATAATCTCATTAGCCAGACTGAGTTTGTTTTCTGTTACTCATCACAAGATACCTAAAATGGGGTAATTTATAAAGAAAAGGGATTTACTAATATTTCTTACAGTTTTGGAGGCTAAGAAGTCCAAGGTCAAGGGGCTGCACCTGGTGAGAGCCTTCTTGCTGATGGAGACTCTCCACAAGGTCCCCAGGTGGCACAGGATATCACATGGCAAGGGGCCGAGCATCCTAGCTCAGGTCTCTCTTCCTCTTCTTATAAAGCCACCAGTGCCACTCACATGATAACCTATAACCTATTACTCTATGAATGGATTGATCCATCCATGAGGCCAGAGTCATTATGGCCCAATCACATCTTAAAGGCCCCACCTCTCAATATTGCCACCTTGGGGATTAAATTTCAACATGAGTTTTGCAGGGGACAAATATTCAAACCATAGCATGAGCTAAGCAGAGGTGCACAGTAGAAGGCTCTGTGGTGTGCCAGCAGCCTGGCCAATGGGCAAACCCTGAAGGAAGCCCAAACAGGAATATGTCATCAAAGTTCAAGAAAGAACCTGGAATTGGAGCTAAGATATTTGAGAATCTTCTGAGATAAGAGTGGAACCACGAGAATAGATTCTATGGAGAATGTAGGGAAGGGAGAAATGATACTTAGGATGAAACCAGAAGGGTAACCAGAGGAGGAGGAGGCAGCAGAGAAGGTCAATGAGATAGGAGGAGGCCACCTGAGATTCCCAGGAGATGACAGCATTTCCAGAGCCAAGCAATGGTGCAAAATGCTACAGAGGTCAAGCCTGAGAAAAGGATATTGGAGCTGGCCATGAGGATCTCACCAGTCACCTTCAAGAGAGCCACTTCAGTTTAGGGTGGGGGCAGGAACTTAATTACAGGCTGCTGAGAAAAGAGTGGAGACAAAGTAGAGTGTGTGGTTGTGGAAGGAAGAAGAAACCAGAACAGTAACTTGAAAGGGTGGGAGGAGGGCGGACAGAAATATCAAGTAAAGATGGATTCTTGTTGGGGTGTGCACACATCTCCTGAGGGCAGGGGAGGGAAGCATTGGAGAATGAAAAGCCAAAGCTGCTGGACCTGAATAATGGTGGGAGCAGAACAGACTCTGGAAGGAGGGGGAGGGCCCGGGGAGGGCTAATCTTAGAAAGGAGAGGTCAGAAAGTTGGAGAAGCAGGAAAGGTCAGAAAGTTGGAGACAGAGAGGTGAGGATGTGAGTACGTCATGTCTGTTGGCTTTTATTTTTGTAGTAGCGTCTGTGGTTGGGTTATCTGATAATGACAGTAAACATGGAGACTTGGGAACCTGCAGAGAGTGCAGGTGGCCTGAAGTAGCATCTGTGGGTTTGGCACCTGAGACCTCCACAACCTTTGCTTATTCTTTAAGACAAAAGCAGGACAGGCACCATAACCCTGTAGCCATATTTGCTCACTATAGGGGTGGAAGCTCTGGTTCCAGCTGTGTAGCTCTTACCAGGGCTTCTTTCAAACAGCTTATCGTATCTCTGTGTGTGTCCCTGTTTTCTCTTAGTCGAGTTGAATTATTTTCAAAGAAAATGATAGCATGATTCTCAGGAGCCAACTGACTAGAGTGATTTCTCAAGTCTCAACTTGACTGGTTACAGACCTAAACCTGTCCTTTTCTACTTGTAATTAAGTTTTTCTTATGAGTTATGTGTAGTAATTTCAAACATCTTAATTATCAGTGCAATAATTGGGAGGTTTTTGTGTTTTATGGTTCAAGTCAGTGCCAGTTTCATTGCTTTTAGCGAAGTAACAAGTTCTCTTAAAAGAGAAAATGTTCATTGTGTATATAGCTTGTTAACTGTTAAACAACCAGGATGCTAAATAAGAAGGCTAACTTCAATGACGAACCTCAGCACAGGCAAAATCGGTATTCAGAACTGGCTGGAGGCAATATCCCCACTATGGGTCCTCTTCCCATCTCAGCCCCTAAAACATTTGAGTTTGATAGGGTACAGTATTAGGAATTTTGGGGCTGAAAGTGATAGAGAAACCCTACTCAAAATAGTTTAGGTTTAAATTTTTTTTAAAAGGAAAAGAATGCATTGATCTGTGTAACTGAGGACACACAGTTGTAGAGTGACTGCAAGCAAGGCTGGCTGCAGGGGCTCAGACAGTGTTGTCAGGCTTCTGTTTCCAGCTCTTCAGGCTGTTTCCCCACATGTGTTGGCTTCGTCATCACTGGAAGGCCCAAATCTGCGTCTTTAGAACTTGGGATCCCAACGAAAGAAAGACCCTCTTCCGTCCAGTGTCCATATACCAAACCCAGGAAGCCGCTGGCATGTGCCTGCCCCTGTCAGTCACAGTGGCCTGAGAGACGTACTCTAGCCATTCTCAGTCACACATTCTCAGTCACCCCATTCCCCTGGGGTGGGGGGTGGTGCTGAGCCATTTCAACTGGTGTCTCACCAGGATCACGTGGAGAAGTTGCTTCCCCCAAAGGGAAACCTGAAGAAGAAGAAGAGGGGGAGGGAATGCTAAGTTAGCAAAAGCCACTGAAGTCCATCATAAACTCCATAGCACAAAACCTAAACAGTAAAAACAAAGATAGAGCTTTATAGTCTGCGGTCGTATATGTGGAAGGCTCACCGAGTTTCTTACTTGTTAATGTTAATGATGGTCTTTCTCGATGGACACCTTAACTAAAGCAGGGAAGCTGCCCCCAGGACTTGCGGGAGTGGGGGATGGGAGGTGAGCAGAGGCCATATAAAATGACTGTGGGAGGAACACACATCATTTCCAGGACACGTTTAAAGTCATCTGCTGCTCGAGGATCTACACGTCGATTTGAATTGGTGCCAATAAAATGGGTTTGGTTCAGTGATCATCTGGTATCTGTCAGGCTAGAAAGTAAATCATGAGAAAGGGTTTGGGCAAGTAGGAAGTGCACTGTGGAGATCTGTGAAATTAATGCACATAAAAAGGGTGATGGGGAGGCTAGGCGTGGTAGCTCATGCCTGTAATCCTAGCACTGTGGGAGGCCGAGGCGGGAGGATAGCTAAAGGTCAGAAGTTGGAAAGCAGCCTGAGCAAAAGCGAGACCCCATCTCTACTAAAAATAGAAAGAAATGAATTGGACAACTAAAAATATATAGAAAAAAAAATTAGCCAGGCATGGTGGCGCATGCCTATAGTCCTAGCTACTTGGGAGGCTGAGGCAGGAGGATTGCTTGAGCCTGGGAATTTGAGGTTGCTGTGAGCTAGGCTGACACCATAGCACCCTAGCCTGGGCAACAGAGTGAGACTCTGTCTCAAAAAAAAATAGAATGGGGTGATGGGGAGAGAGAGGGAGAGTTGTGGGGGGGAAGGGAGGAGGGGAGGAGGAAGAGAGAGATGGGGGAGAGGATGCTGAACACAGGTGTTGATGGATGTGCCCTGACACCGAGAATATTGCTTTGCTTTGGCTGCTGCCTTCATCCACAGGGTGAGTTTCCTGCCTTCCCAGTCCTGCCTCACCCACCATGCACAGACTTGGGTAGCTCCTGTGCCACCCTGTTACTACAGCAGTCTCAGAAGCCTGTTTAAAATACCATTTTCCCATCTTCTCGCCCACAACACCTACAGGCTGTGTCTTGATGAACACTTCTGTGATAGCACAGACAATAAGAATGCTTACATTAGACAGTTGTCCGATGGAAGGGATGTTCTGCCACTGTTTTTAAACTAAAGTGACACGAGAGTGATTAAACCCGTCCCCTGCCTGATTTATAGCCTGTCTGCTCAACACATCAAAAATCCCCTTCATCTTCAAGATCTTTATGTAAAGTGTGGGTGAAAACAGATCCAGTAAAGCCAACAGAGAGAAGCTTTATTTTAAAAAGCCTTCACTGATTAATTATCTTATATAGTTGAGGATAACCTGGTAATCTCACATAATGTGACTGTATCAGAATTGCAGTGTAGCTCAGAGAAAATATAAATCATGATTTTTTTTTCTTTATGATTTAACAACAAAAATCTTTGCAGTCACCAAGAGGCAATTAGATGCCACAACAAAAGCCACAGTTAATAAAGCCATCAGTCCTTACTTCTCGGAATACGAAGAAAACTCAAATGAGAGGTCTTGGTGCAGAATTTCTGATAGTAATATTCTCCCTGTGCTCAATATTCAGTATTTTGTCAATGTTCGTATGGTAAAGATGGTTCTCCTTTGAAGTCTTTCTTCTAGACAGGCAATTGGGTTTAAGGTGTATTTCTTTTGGTCTTCCTGACAAGTCTGTGAGGTGGGCATGATTAGCATTATAACTTTATAGATGAGAGCAGAGGCAGGGTCTTGCTAAAGTCACACTGCAAGGAAGAGGTGGACCTGGGGCTCTTCCTCAGGTCCTGTGCTCATTTCAACCCTCCAGAGCTGTACCCCTGGTCTGGGAAGGTCACCCCCTGGTGCCATTGGGGAGGGTTTTCTCCCCATCCTGTGGCAGGACAGGCTGCCACAGGGCCCGTTGCTGTTGTGGCCCTGGCAATGTGGATTGAGGGACTTGCGTGGGAAGATTCAGGGAGCTATACAAACAAGGAACTAAGATCTCAAACCTGCTTCCAATCCTGGCTTTGTTGTATGTCTGAGGAATGTTTGGTAAGTTTGCTTCTGTATTAAGGAAAAGCCAAAACCCTAGAGTTTGATGCTCAGAAACTGGCCTTGCTTTGGAGGAAAAGGGAAGAGGGAGCATGGGAGTAGAAATTTAACTCTCAGATCTCTTCAGATTATGGGATGCATTTATATTTTGATTAACCTTTTCTTAAATCTGCCCGTCGGCCCATCTGTCGCACCCCAGCACCCCAGCCCCCATGGCATTCATTCCCGAGGGCTTGAGTCCTTGGTGCTGATGTTTTGTGCTCCATCACTTCAATCAGCTTGCCTGGGCCCGGTGGCAGGGAGCCTGGAACCGGAAGGTGACAAAGATGACCTGCTGCTGTTGAGCGAGATCTTCAACGCGTCCTCACTGGAAGAGGGCGAGTTCAGCAAAGAGTGGGCCGCGGTGTTCGGAGACGGCCAGCCGACGGAGCCAGCGCCGGCGGTGGCCCTGGGAGAGCCGGATCCCAAGCCCCAGGCGGGCTCAGGCTTCCTTCCTTCGCAGCTTTTAGACCAAAACATGAAAGACCTACAGGCCTCGCTACAAGGTATGTGCTGTGGGGATTGTTTGTTTGTTCGTTGTTTTTATTATTATTTTAATCCAAAAGCATATTTCTACCTTTTTTGTCTTTTTTGTGTTTTATATGTTTTTGTCTTATAATCCAATGACCTAAGAATCTGGTGCTTTTGATCGTTCATGGATTATGTGGCAGGGTTTAAAATATATTCCTTTTCATGATTTTCTCCCTATGTTAACATTTCCTATTAATAAAAGGTTAAAGGGGTGGTTCTATATTGTCTGGCTTTGATTTTAGGTTTCTTGTGGCATATCTGAGGACCAAATTGCCTTTATTATGGTCATGACCCTGCTGTCTTGGCCACCCTTGCCTGGCCACCACCCTGAGTTCGCCACATTCCCATAAATGCACTCTCTTCCTGGGGCCCGGCCGACATTACCTTCATCACTCTTTTGTCACACTAAGTTTTACTTTGCACTCACTCTTGCTCCCTTTCTGTCCAGACCCACCCTGCCCTGAGGATCCCCCAGCTCAGCTCTTCCTGTTCTACCCCAAACACAGCAGCCAAGCAGTGCCTCCTCAGCCACAGCAAAAACAGAGCTCCCACGCTGATCACAAGGGGTCTGCAACATCAGGAAGTGTTCAGAGCACCCCGAGTGTAGCCAGCAGGCCACATGCTGTCTGAGCATTGCTGGCATGGGAAGCGTATTGGTTCCCAGTGCAAAAATGAAAACTCAGGTTGAAATTTAAAATTTTGAGTTTCTAAACACACAGACCTCAGGAAGGAAACCATTCTCTAGTATTTCAACACTTTTTTCTCCTTTCATGTAACTTTAATTGTAAGACGGGAATCACTATTAAGAAATTCTCAAACTGCTGTAGTTTTTCTCCGAATTTAGGCTATCTCCTTAATAAACAACATGTTTACGTAGCACTTAAAGCTGAGAACAAACGGCAGAGCTAGAATGATTAAGTAATTATGAGCTATTAAAACCTCAGGTCTTTGGAGATGAGATCATGAACACAGGAGGTGGTGGGCAAGACAAAAAAAAAAAAAGTCTTCCCCTCCTTTTTTATGAAATGCATGCCTCCTTTTATCTTCCTTTGTGGGTCCTGTTTTGTAGCCACCTCCTTTATTTGCAGTCATGGGGTTAAAGATAGCAGGGAGAAATGAAATCCAAAAATGCTTCTCCACCCTGAGTTTCACCCCTGGTTTCACCCTCTCCTCCAGGGGAGCTCGGATGAGCAGTGCTGCCAACTGACTTGAGTTTCACCGCCCACCTGTGGTGGAGGTGCTAACACGCCGTGAGAGTCAGAAGGCAGGGCCCGCCCGCATCCTCAGCCCGTAGCTTAGGGCTGCTGAGGGCTCTCCAGCCATGTTGCAGAACGAGCCCCACTCAGACGCCCAGCCTTGGAAGCACAAGAGTGACAGTGTTCCCACGTAGCTGGGTGGCTGAGTGGCGGCCGCTGCAAGAGCCCACGCAGGCCCACAAGCCAGCCGGGGGGTCAGAGCTCCACGCCCTCTTCCTGAGCAGGCAGAGCGAGGAGCGCTCAGCTCAGGGCCCACAGCCCCGGCGCCGGAACTACGCCTGAGAGCACTGAGAGAGGCAGCGGCCTTGGGGAATTGCACTCCAGCCTTGCCCCGAGTGCGAGGGAAAGCCACCAAATCACACTGGTCTGAGGAAGGGGGGTGGTGGTCTGACAGTGAGAGAGAAGCGCAAGCTCCTACTGTGGAAAGAGAAAGGGGCGCTGCAGAGGGAGGCCGTGTATTACTGAGGCAAACAGAGTCTCATTTGAGGTTGCCATCCTGCTAGCACTTGGGCAAGCCATTCATTCACCAAATATTTATGGGGTCCCTCTGCGTGCCAGGTGCTGGGAGTCTGTCCGAATACAGAACAGACAAGGCTCTCTGCAGTCCTGGAACTCACATTTTGATGGGGAGGAAACAGACAGTGAACAGTAAGCGTAATAAATACGCAAAATGTCAGGGAGGAAAGGGAAGAGTAGAGCTGGGAGAGGGACTGCCGGGGGCTGGCAGGGGAGGTCAGGCTGCAGAACCGAACTGGGTTCTGACTGGGAAGACGAGATCTGAGCAGAGATTCGCAGGAGCTGAGAAGTAGCCACATGGAGGTACCTGGGGTGGAGGGACAACCCGCAGCAGTGCCCTCAAGTGAGGACGGGCCGGGTGCGGGCGAGGGTCTGCGGGAAGGACACTATGGCTGGAGCTGACTGAGCAGGGAGACAGGTTCTCAGAGGTCGCCAGGGAGAGGCCGCGTGGGGCCTCACAGCTGTCGGGAGAACGTAGCCTTTTTTTCAGCCCAAGCGAGACTTGGAACCATCACAGCATCTTGAGCCAAGGAGTGACATGATCAGATTTACTATTTAAAAGGATCATTCTGGCTGCTAAAAGTTTCCTCTCCTCTGCTGGGGTTCTGTCAAGATCAGTGTTAAAGGAGTTATCTTGCCATTCAGCTCCTACCACTCCTGTGGATTCCCAGAAGATGCAACCCCCAACTCAGGGAACCTTCAAAGGGTGTGGTACAGATGAAGAACAGGCTCTCTACCTCTGTCAGAGCAGCTGCTATCGTCACCTCCATTTTATAGCCCAGGAAACTGAGGAACAGAGCAGCTGAGCAATGTGTCCCACATCACACCCCTGGTTGGGGGCTGAGCGGACTTTGAACCTGGGCAGCCCGATTCAGGAATCCCTGCCGTTCACCCTCACCTCCTGTGGCCTCTCAGTTCAGTGTCTCTGGTAGCAAAAGTGATCGATTCCCCAGCAGGGGCCTGCAGGCCTCTCTTTGGAAGCTGCCAGAGCAGCAGGACTTATCATGACCAGTCTGGCCGGGCATCCTGGTCACACACAGGGACCTAGACATCCTGGGGCATCATAGAGGAGGAATGTGGGTGGCGGGAATCAGAGTCCCTGCCCTCACAAAGGTTGAATGATATTCCAGAATAGGAAATGTGAATTGGGCTTGTCCTAGGAAATCGTAATCACGTGCCCCAACCATCCACACATTCGCCCTGGTGCTTGCAGGCTGAGCCTCCCTGGGGGCGGCTGGGGATGGAGACCCCTCTGCCTCTTCCTCCTCCTCTCCCCAAATTCTCCTCTGCCTTCCTCCTCTCTCCTCATGCTGCCCACAGCCCTCTGGGGAATGGAGAGGAGGGGATGTAGAAAGAGAGGAGTTGCCTCCTCCTTCCCTCCTACTGAAAGTTCTAGGAGGCCAAAACAAAAGACTTACACGGAGGATGGAGTTGTGCTGAAAATTTGAAGAAGTTAATTTTAGCTGGGATTTCTAAGACTTTCTGCAGTTACCAGCATGACAGGGGCTGGGGTTTCCTGTGTCACGCCGTGATGAGGAAAGTGCCATCGGGGGCCTCTTAGTGTGAGCAGGAGAACAGGCCAGAGAGGGAGACAGGAGAGGCTGGGGCCGCACAGTCAACATTCTCCTCAGTTCTCCACCAGTATCCAAAATTTAACTCAGAAGTAGACACTGTTACTGGAAAGATTACCAGCCGCTCAAAATAAATGCACCAGGACATCTTTTAATTTGGGATTCTGCAAAGCAAAGTTAGGAGTCTTGTTCCAAATTCTCGAAAACACAGCCTTCTGTTCCCTTCAGGGTATCCTTTTGTCTTACTCGGTTCTCACATGCTGCTGCCATCTGGGCGGGTTTCCATTTAAGGCCAATGTAACCCCAGGCTTTGGTTTATCTCAGAATCACCTTTCCTCTACCAGAGCTCACCTCTTGCCCTTCCAGGCCTAGCCTGGCTCCAGGTCACTGGCATTCCCAGTACCCGGTACTCATGGGACCATGTGAAGGACAAGACAGTTTGCACGCAGAACAGGCCCTCTTAGTGCAAGGCAACGGGACTGTTAGTTCCATTGAAGAAGCCCCACTTTCTGTGCCTGCAGAGGATCATTCGCAAAGCAGGCCCTGGAGATCTGCAGGATTTAGTGCATAGGAGGAACTGTGATCCACACCACCCTCATTTTACAGGTGGTGGAATCAAGGAACCCCAGAAAGGCCTTGTGACTTGCTGAGTTGTTGCAATTTGTCCACTATTTGAGTAATATCTAAACTCCCCCGCTTGGTTTTCAAGGTCCTTTAGGACCTGACCTGGTCTCTGAGTTTCCCACGCCACTGCTTAGCATGTCTTGATGACTTTGTTCTGCCGCGGAACGTCAGTGTTCCTGGCTCTCCCCACCACGGGGCCTCAGCATATGCTTGCCCCTCTCCCTAGAGTATGCCCCTCACCTACACACCTGTGAGCCTAACGTCTCATCCTGCAGCGACAGTGTCCTTGCATCCAGGGAGCCTTCCCTGAGTCCCCCACCTCCATGACACCCCTTACTTAATCATTGCTCTCACCTAATTGTAAAATGGATTTCATTTTCTCTTGCTCTAGGTTGTCATGGGGACAGGACCCATATTTGTGTTGCTCACCATCATATTTCCAGAATGTAGCTCAGTGCCTGGGATATAGTAGATGTTCAAAAAGTACTTGTTGGATGGATGGATGGGTGGGTGGGTGGATGGCAGGCAAGAAGAGAGGGAGAGAACAACTGATAAATGCCACCAAATTAAAAGAAAACAATCCAAAAGTGTGATCCCCTGAGGATGAGGCCCGCAGGAGTTAGACCTGATGTCAGCTGAGCTGTACGGAAACCCGGATTCAGCTTTGATTCATTGGAGGCCTGCTTTCTAGCCTCTCCGCTACCGGGTTTCACCTACAGGATCCCATTTTACCCTTACAACCACCGAGCGAGGCGGGAGTGTTTATCCACCCCGTTGCTAGTGTGGAAACCAGGGCTGAGGGGAATGCCATTGGCAGGAGATTGCTTGGCCATGGTGGCTGTGGTGTTCCCACCTTCCCTGTCAGGGCCAACCCCACCTCAGAGGTCCCCAGGCTGCAGTCACCAGCTCAGCCCTGGCTGGGCTCTCCGGGCTGGTGGATGACATTCACAGCAAAGCACTACTCTGGGTGGTGTTACTTGGCCTCACTTGCTGCTCGGGCCAGCCGGTGTTATTTCTGGCTGATTTATATTTTCCTTTATGTAAGTAAAGGGGGTAGGGTTGCTCTAATAAAATTTTATATGTGTTTCCTGCAAACGGGTAGCACATTTGACATATCAAAGGATCCTGAGAGCTAGGAGAGTCATTCTGTGCACCAGGCTCTGTGCCCCAGGGTCTCAGTCCTCACCACCCCTCTCCTGACAGAATCCCTCTGAAACGGGCTGACATCTTTCTAGCCACACCTTCATGTGAAAAACGCCCCAGCCAACTAACACCAACTGAAGAACAGTTGATGGCAATTATGGGAATATTAGCAACACTAAGTTCTCTTTAAATAGCATTTTTTCCTGACAGAAGCCAAGACATTTGAAATCTGGCTTGGCATTCCATCCATAATTACCCTCATTGCACCCTTCCCCTAAATAATTTCCAGAGTGATATGAGTGAGGTTAAAATTGCAGCTGAGCTTAGAATTTGCTTTAAAAAAAAATAGTGTCACAGCCATACTATTTTACCCCTTCTTGCACATGTAGTCAAATTGTTAGACTGATGCATAATAACTGTTCTGAGGAAAGAGTGTGACATGGCACAGTCTTCAGGCTCATCTGACCTCTTGTCCCCTGCCGCAGAGAAGCCCCCCCAAGTCTGTGGATTCTAGCTGTTGCTTGTATGGTTCATGGGTATTTAGGTGAAAACCCGTCGTTACAAAGGAATTCAGTTAGGTGTTTATAGTTTTCTCTACAAAGGAATCTGCCATTATCATCCTTTAAATCATGCTCAAAAATATTTGTATTTCTGGCATCTTTTAAATATGACTTGATATGCAGACATGTATTTATAACTTTTCACGCACATGCACATTGCATAACGGGAGGTGAGCTCCATTTTGACATGTAGATTGATTCCTACACCTCCTTTTAGGAACGTGTTCCATTTCATACTTTGAAAAATACAGTGCTTTGAATCTGCCTCTTTTCCAGTATTTTCTGCAACCATTTTTGAAAATGAATATTGTGCATATTTTTGAGATGGGAAGGACTATCTTGTTGCATTCCCATTGTATCAAATAGCATACCTGGATCAGGGAGGAGCTGGTCTCTGTACTCCTCGCCTGGCTCTTCTCTGAGTCAGTTCAGGTTCTCTCTAGAAGGGTGGGCCTCCATGAACTCAGCCCAACAGGACTGAAGAGTATAAAGCTGCAGGATTTGGACTCAGCTACCTGGGGTCCTGACGCGGGCCCCTCTGTTTCCTAGTAGGGCCTCTCTCCTTGTCCTGGCAGCGGCCTGAAAGATCTCCTGGGATTCCAATCAGAATGGTGACCCGGGAGACCATATAAGGCAATGCTTCCCAAACTTTCACTTGCATAGCAATCATTGAGTGTTTGTTAAAACAGTTCCTGGGCTCCACCCCCAGAGATTTTGATTCACTAGGTCAGCATTGGCCCATAAATTTGCATTTCTAACTAGCACATAGGTGATGCCCATGTTGCTGCTGAGGGCACAACACTTTGGGGACCACTGCTCTAAGAGACTGAGGCCAGGCTACAGGGGTTAGTGGAAAGGTGGCACAGGCTCTGTCAAGCGTGGGTCTTGAGGACATTTGGTGTCAGGGCAGGATTGCAGGGAATAGGGTGACAGTTACCCAGTTAGGTTCAATCCTTCGCAGCTTTCCCTATGATTGGTATTATTTGGCACACGTGGAAACCACAACTTTAACTTTCCACATTTACCACTGTTTTATGTGATTTGGGTCTAGAAGGAATATGGTCATGGGCCAATTTTCTAAGAACCAGGGAAGTTATATTATTCCTGGATTACACCAAATACTGGTCATTTTTTAAAATTGCTTTATTGAAGTATATTTTCTATACCATAAAATTCACCCATTGTAAGAGAAGGGTTCAAGGATTTCTTGCAACTTTATATTGCACAACCAACACCAACCACAGTGCAGTGTTAGAACATTTCCATCATCCCAGATGGCTCCCTCAAATTCTAGTGGTTTTGACTGTTTATGAATTATGTTACCTATATGTTCAAATACCTTTCCAATGAATAACAATGCCTTCTAGAGCCTTTTATAGTTTGTCATTATTTTAGACCCAGTAATAGGTCACAGGCCACCTGTGTCATTACTCATTGGTTAGTCTTCATATATAAGTCTGTGTGCCACTTGCCACAGTAAAATAAAGTAATTCAACCAGTGAGTATTATATTGTATCTACTGTGTGCCAGGTACTGCATTCCCATCTCTTAAAACAATGCTTCATGAATGTACTCCTCAGAATTTGAAAGAGTACTTTAATAGTTTGTTAATTCAATAGCCATACATTTGCATACCCATTGTGTACCTGGCAGTGCACTAAAGGATATAAAAATGAATAATACATAGTCCCTGGCTTCAAGGACCTCCTGATTCTGGGGGATGAGACAAAAATGCAAACCAGTAAATATGGTATGACTCTATAATTAAGTCCACTGGAAATCATAGAGTGGCAGGGTGAACAAATGTTAAATCCTGTAATTTTTGTGCATATACCGAGTGACATTCTTACTCTGGAAATTGGTTTCACTGCATCATCTGAACTCTGCCATCCAAACATGATCTTTCTTGAGGGGTTTATCAGATACAAAATCTTTTCTTTAAGCATAAGGGTCGCAACAGTGATGCAGTCGTCTTATGGTCTACATTTCACAGTGAGAATCAACCGTAGACTTAATCAGCAACATCTACCTGTGCTGTGTTAAGTATTTTGGAGCAGATTGATGAAAAAAAGTCCTTGTGTCATTGAGAAGACAGGACTTACACATAAAGAACTAAAGCAGAGGTGCAATGAAGCCAATGGTAAAGTTCTAGATTCAATCCGAGGCATGCTAAAACATCAGACTGACAGTAAATGCTATGGTGAACTGGGCTGGCTTCCCTTAAAACCAGAGTGCTGAATGCCTCTTAATCATTCGGGGGAAGGTGGGGCATGAGAGCGTTACAGAGTATTGGGTGGTTATACAAGCTAAGTGCCATTGTAAGAGTATGGCATAAAGTTAAAGAGGATTTTCTTTCCCCCTCATATATTTGGACTGGACTGTCATTTATTTATCTGTATTAATTAAATCTCTCAATTTAAATTAGCAGTGTAGAAAATAAATGGACTGGATCATATTGAAAGTTGAGAAGACATGCAGTTTACGAGTGCTGTTGCTTCATTTAATGATACTTGGTTTTTTTTTAGCTTTCCCCATTTGTGACAGAAAAACAAGGCACCTGATTTCCTTGCACATTATTGATAATCTTTGGAATGATCATGAAATGATGATGCTTGAGAAGAAAAATGGGCCTCAAGCTAAAAAGCAAAAATGCTTTTTGCCTTAGCCATTTCTGATTTGCGTTGCAAAATTCAATCTTTTCCTTTGTTTTTTGTATTTTTGAATTGGGCATGATTGTGCATATCTCCTGTCCCCTCAAACGTATTCCAGTATGAGGGAAGGGTCTTGTTATACCTTCCTCTTTGGAGGCCACCGTGGTTGAGAACCACGTGTGTGTGCCTAGCAACTGGTGGGTCAACATGACTGCTCTTCACTAGCTCTAACGTGCTTTGGTTTTAAATATTAGGCTGGTCAGAGAGCAATGTCAGTCCTCCTTCTACTCCATGGCCAGCACCAAAGACAAGCAGTCCCAATGGCAACAGCCCTGCAGTGAAAGGTAATATGGTGTTTTATCCCCATGAAATGACAATTGCCTTCCTTTCCAGTGGCCTAACCTATTTTCTGTATCTCTTTACTAATTTCTACTTGAGCATCTGGGGCTCAAAGGAGGGCTATGAGATGGAGAGCTTTGCATAATCCTAGAAATTACATTCTGACTTTTTTTCTGGCTTAATGTCCTACTTCCTAATTCCCTTTATCAAATTGTACGTAATGTGGATGAATCAAATATCTGTGTCACCATGTGATCGGGTGGGTCCCCAGGACTGGGTAGAAATATCGAGGAAGGAAAGACCACTGAGGTTTGCTATCTTTAGCAGAAGATACCCTTGCCACCACCAAATAGGACATTGAATTCATGCTCCTCAGATTTCTTAGTTGTCAAAAGAGGTCTTTTCAAGCTCAGGCCCCCGAGAGAACTGAAGAGCCCGACTGAAGAGCTCATCTGTATTTGCAGTTCTCTCTCTCTTCCTTTGGTCATCACCCACTTTCCCTTTGTTGACCACAGGAAGTTAAAGGGAGTGTCTATTCCATTATCATCAAACAGCATTTCCATGATGTTCTTTTAAGTGCTGTACAAATAAGTTGCTCCTGGTTTTGCCTCCATCAGTGGCACCCTGGGGAACATGAGGGGTTGCCCCAAAGTGCAAGCACCTGGCTCCTCAGGGCAGGGCCATGATCACACTGAGGACCTTGTAAGACCTTTGCGGAGGTGAAGAGGAAGGGGAAGTGAGCATGTAGCATATTTTCACTGGAGATCTCTTTAAAATATCTTGATATTCTCTGTCAACACTAGAGATAGATTAATCCACCTACATCAGTCTTGCCCCATCACAGTGTCCTTGTGTGACCTCTTACATGACAAAAGAAGGACAAGTTGCTTCCTTTTTTTAAGCAGTCCCCCCTACCCTTGTCCCTCAACCAAGCTATGTTGAGCTTTCTCAAGTCTATGAGATAATCATATCAAGATAAACCCTATGTTTTGAGAGCTAACTGCCCATGGAATTCAATTACTGTTACGTAGTGATAACTTGCATATTACAAACTAGTGTTGTTACCAGTACTTTTCTCTCTATAAAGAATACCTTGGTTATCTCATTACGAAGTTATATATCTACAAGAGACTTTGGAAAAAAAAAAAAAAGGGAGAGGAAAATCACAAGTATTAAGTGATCACTACACCATCTTAGTATTTCAGTGCCATTTTAATGAAAGGATCCAAGACCCTGTTTTATACTGATAGAATGCCATCGCTTCTATCCCATCACTAACCACTTTTAGCAACTTGTCCTGCCAGTGGTTTTTGAGACTGTTTTCAGCCAGATGGCAAGCACATTCCTAGCTGGTCTCAACGCAAAGGATAACCTGTCAGAGAGACATTTCTTCGTGCTTCTGACACTCGCACCTGCTGGAGGAGGAAAAAGCACAGGTCATCCATGCCAGTGAACTTAGATTCTCATGTGGAATGGTTTATAGAAGAAAAGAGCCCCCACCTTATTTAAAAATCACTTGCATGAGGCACTCTTTTGAAAATGTTCTCCTCATCTGGAAAATAATTTGGCTCTCTAATGGTGGCATTCAGAAAGCCAGGGCAGGTGTTTTGGTGGAAGGGCAGGAGGAGGGAGGGGATTGTGAGCACCTGGGGAAAGAGAGGGCACATCAGGGGTCTCCTGCCTTTGATGGGAGAGAGTTGGAGACAGCAATGACCCTGGAAGCAGAGGAGAAGCCAGGCCTGGGCGCCCACCTCTTTGGGCCTCTTGCTTCCAAGGGTGAAGAGAGCGGCCGTAATCATTCTGCTGACCCAGCAGATTTGAAAAGATTCCTCCTGCAGACACTGGAAAGCCCCTTGCTTCCTCAGCCATTCAGTCTGATTTCTGAAATAACTGTGCTGTTTCCTGGTTGTGGTGAAGCGGCAGGGCCTGAGGTTTTGAGCGACTCCGTGGGCTGTGGCCATCCGCCTGGTTGGGGTGCAGGCGGGGGTTGGTTAGCATACGAGCTCGCCCTCCACTGAGCTCCAGGCCACAGGTCAGAAATGTGAACCAACCAGCCATCTAGTGGGGGCAGGGTAACGTGGAATTCCCTAACGATTGTTAGAGACAGATTGTAACAAGATTTGTCTGATGTCACCTTTTCAAGATGACCCTGGACCTGCCCGCGTCCAGTGTGGCAGCAGTGGGCATTTGGAAGGTGGGTTTGCTGATGTGTTCTCTTTTCTCTCCAGACCCTGCTAAGGCCACCTCGGACCTGACTGCCTGGTTCAGCCTCTTCGCTGACCTTGACCCATTGTCGAACCCTGACGCTGTTGGGAAGACTGATAAAGAACACGAGTTGCTCAATGCATGAGTCTGCAGCCTTTGGAGGGAGCCCGCTAGCCGCTCCCCAACAGCTCGCGTGGGGCCAGCAGAAGCATAAAGTGATCAGTATGCTGTTTTAATATTTACGTGCCATTTTAATAAAATGCAGGGGTCCAAGGCCCTGTTTATATTGGTATAATTCTTTACTCTTATTTGGTAAAAAGGGTTTCAGCGTATCTCTATGTGGATCTACACAACACAGGAGTGTCTAGAAGCCGTGTGTCTCCTGCCCACGTCCCATCATGGCTGCCGTGGTGCCCCTGGGCTACCGTGAGGTCCAAGTTCAAGTCATGAACCCACTTTGTATCGGGTTTAAATGACACGTCCTGCAGCCTCAGAGGCAGTAGAAGGCTAGCGAAGCTGAAATGCCTCCTGTTCCCCCGGCCTCTGTTTAGAGGGGGACTGCAGGAAGAGTCCCTTTTCCTGCCAGGCCACCTTCCAGCCAGCTCTGGACAAAGCTCCGGCCAACCAAAGACACCGTCCCCACAGCGCCTGCCTGGTGGGCCTCGTGTCCTCACACAGGCGAAGAGCTGGGCTTCTCTCTGCTGCACAGACCTCTCTATGGAAAGCAGCCATAACTTGCAGATGCAGTGTCTCCTCTCGTCCTCTTCACGGCTGAAATTCAAAAGCATGTATTTCTGGAGCCCCTTTGTGACATGAATTGTTTGGTTTGTTTTTTTGTTGTTTTTTTTAATTAAATGAAAAAGATCTTTGACACACAACGTGCATGTAGTCTGTTGTAGGGACTCTGGGTTGTGCCGAGGGAGGCCTTGCGGGTGTGGGGGCTGCAGCGGACAGAGGAGGACGGGTCCCCCCTGCAGCCTTGATGCTGATGACTTGACTCCGAGCATCCCGCAGGTAAGGCAGGGGCGGGGGAGGATGACATGGGGCTTCTGGGGGTCAGGCAGCGGTAGGAACCATAGTTTTACATTTGGGCACAGAAGTGACTCGGAAACTCCACTGCTGTGAGAGACCCCAGAGCTGGCGCCGCTCCTCCCCTCTCGTGTGACAGGCGACCTGCTGCATAAAGGCCACACACGTGCACTGAAGCCCATGTGCACCCCTTTCAGCGATTAGTGGCCCTCAGTGGGGGTGGGGTGGATGGTTAGCCAGGAAGTGGTTCTGGGCCTGGCTGGGCCACTTCTCTCCTGAGCACCTGCTGCCTCCGTGCGGGCTCTGAAAAGGCTTCCTGGGGCCACTTCCTGAAACACGCACAGGAATGCCCTCCAAGAAGGGCCTGGCCCCAGCAACCTCTGTCCTAGCGGACACCAGGGAGAACTGGGGAGAGGCCTGTTGAAGGTGTTTCTCTGCGCAGGAAAGGATCCCGCAGGAGACGTGGGGCGGGGCCCCAGTGTGCGGAGCGCACGCGCGGTGCTCACTTGCAGGCCCAGCACAGGCTGTCGGGAGTCTGGTGTGGTGGAGTCTCATTAAGCAGATTCCTCAGCCTGGTGGCATTCGTAGGCTTTGAGAATGTCAAGATTCAGCACCGGGCCTCACCCCGTCACTCTTCCCACACTCACGCGGGCGTCCTTGCTGTACCCCTAACTGCCGCCGGCCACTCTGGGCCTGTGCGTTTGCCGTGCACCCCATATGGGACACTGTCACACCCCTACGCACCCCTCGGGAGCTTCTGCAGAGCCCACCTGCTCCACAAGGACTTCTCCAAATGCAGCCTCCGGGTCTGCTGTCAGGAACCGGCTCTCGAGAGTCCTGACAATCCCTCAAGTCGCTGCCTTGCCCTCCTGCCGCCTACCATCTCCTCCGGCCAGGCCAGGATGGCGCCCTGCCTGCATGTGCTTCCTGCATCTGCCTCTACCACTGGGTGCCGCAAATCCCGGAGAACAGGGTCCCTATTTCCCCAAATCTGTCTCCCCCAACAATCAGCACCCTGGAGTCACCTTGTAAGCAGCCGGTTAATGATTTCCGAATGGAGTTGCCCTGCAGGGAATGCAGACTAAGGAGTCAGTTCCATCCTGGGTCACATTTGTCTGTAGCCAAGAAACCCCATAGCAGCCACAGGAAGGAGAGGAAGCAGGAGGGCCTGACTGCTCCCTCGCTGGCCCATGGGGGATGGGAGTGCAGGGGGAGAGTACAGGGGTGGGGTCCATCTATTTTGAATGGATTACTTTAAATACTAACAGGCTGCATTTTAAAGTTGATCTGTGAGTGGAGGGCAGAGGAAGATTATGAGAGTTGGACAGGCTTTGCTCTAAGGAAATGGAAAGAGTTGCACGTGAAGGCATTTTCTCCCCAAATTTTCTTGACATTTTTTGAAAAAAAAAAGATTCAATTCCCTTTCCCATCTGCAATCCACTTGGCCAGCCTCTTGATCCCTTTTGATAGACATGTTTTGATCCAGGCTCACACACAAAGCCCCTAGACCACCTCTCCAGTTTAAGGAGAAGCAGCTGCTGCCTGCTTCTCTTTTAAGTGGACCGTGTGCCAGCCGGGCCAGGGGGCTTCCTTTGGGACCCACCTGGGGACCCTCCCCAGCTGCCTATGGGCTGTCTCTGGTATGAAAGTGCCCTGCCCTCTTCCTGTACGAGCTCACTTCTCCCGCATTTCGCCCCATGTTAGGCAGCCCCTCTGAACCACACTGCACAGGAACCCTCGGGGAGACTGCGAGAGCACCTGTTCCTGGAAAGCTTGCCTGCCCTTTCAGGTGGTCTGTGAGTCTCCCTTCCCTCAGCCCACATACGAGGAATACACAAATTTAAGGGAGAATATACAAATTTAAGCCAGAAACAATTCTGTCTCCTTCTTCTTTCCCCAGCTGGCATGGGCTCTTGGTGCACTTTATAGATTTATTCCCTTCAAAATGTAATTTTAGAAATGTCAAGTTGATTTTGAGTTCTGGGAGAGTGAGAAAAGCATCCGTCAGCTTCGGAATTAGAAATGCAGCAACTTAGGAAGAACCAGCACTTTTTGTCAGAGGTTTTTGCCCAAGAAAACGTGATCCGCTCAGAGTTGGCAGCCCTGGGAACCCTGAGTTGCCAGTGGGCACGTGGGCCGGGCTCATCCACTGTGACCAGTTTTCATGACAGGTGTGGGGCCAGGGCTGAGGCCCCGAAGGTGCTGTGTGTGGCCACCCAGCCATCTGGGGAAAGATGGCACCTGCCAGGCTCTCCTGCTTTCAGCCCATGCCCACCTCCTGGAGCCAGCTAACAGAACACACTTCCCTCTGTCAGAGCCTACCTCAAAGAGACACTTCTCCCCCAAGGCCAACCTTGGCCATGGCTCATGGCTAAAGAGTAGCACTATTTGATTTTGCCAATATATCAAAGTTGCACCTATTTTCGTGATCAACTAGTGCCCTCCAGATAGGCCTTGGCAGTTAATCCTCTGCTTTGATTTAAACCATCAGCCCAGTCCTCTGACTGCCACCACCTGCTCCCAGTGCAACGATATAGGTCCCTTCAGCTTTGTTGGAAATGGACTTCAGCTTGGAGCCAACTCCAAATGATTGGCGGATGGCTGCCAAGAATTCTGCATTAAGAATTCTGATAAATGAGTGGTTTGGGGGTAGGAGTTGATGGCCACCAATACTGCATTAGACCTGGTCTTTCATGGGGTTTTTAGGATTAACTCTTTTTTTAATGGACAGTAACTAAAATTCTGGAACTCTGAGAGTTGGACATGTATGGGTGAGAAAAGAAGAAAAGAAACCTCACCCAACTGAAACTGACTCCAACCACCGCAAAAACAGGTAACTGAAAGTCTAGGTGTAGGCTTCAGGCACAATTGGATCTAGGGGATCAGTTGATCTCAACAATTGTCCCCTCTTTAGTTACCAGCTGTAGTTCCCCATGTTGCTTCCTTCTAACAGATGCTTTTCATCAGCAGACAACGTGGCCACCAGCAACCCTAGCCAAAGTCTTGGAATTGAGTCTGCTTTGGGTCCTGTGACCACTCTTTAGTCTCAGTGGAGACCAAGGGGTGCTGTAGTGTCTTAGTCCATTCTCTGTTGCTATAACAGAACATCACAGACTGAATAATTTATGAAGAAAGAAGTTTATTTAATTCATCATTCTGGGAAGTCCAAGGTCAAGGGACCACACCTTGTGAAGAGGGCCTTCTTGCTGCGTCATAAAATGGCGGAAGGGCAAGAGAGCATGAGAGAGAGAGGGAGGGAGGGAGAAGAGGTAGGAGGGAGGGAGGGAGAGAGAGTGAGAGAGAGAATGCACTCAGCTGAACTCATCCTTTTTATCAAGAAACCACACCTACGAAGAGGGCCTTAATCCCTTCATGAAGGTGGAGCTTTCATGGCCTAATCACCTCTTAAAGGCTCCACCTTGTAAAACTGTTACAATGGTAATTAAGTTTCTGACACACACGTACTCTGGGGGACATATGCAAATCATAGCAGGTGGGGTGGAGAACAGTCTGTTTGCTCAGCTTGTCATGTGCTGGCATCTGACCCTCAGGCACTGAGAATAGAGAAAGGATAGTTCCTTAAGGCAAAATTGGGATGCAGGAAAATGCAATAGAGATCCACTCTGGTTTCCACTGGAATGAGTTTGAGGAGACACTTGTTTTGTCTTTCATGAAGGGTATGGAAAGGGGTTGTTAACCACTTCGGTATGGCGCTCACTGGCCGAGAAACCTTGCCCACAGCCGGCACTCACAGGCATGATAGTTTGTGCTGTGCAGTGACAAATCCGTTTTGCTCTTGTGTGATGAGGAAAGCTTTAAAGCACTGAAAGCTTGTTTTACTTTACAGGCAGCTTCACTTGTAATGTAAATCAGAATAGGTAACATATACATATATGTTTTCATTACGTTATTTTTAAATGTTAACAATTTTATTTTGATCAATGAAAAATTAGAAAAGTCATATCTCGGCTGTCGGCTAAAGTCGACGCTCGGCTGTGCATGTTCATCTGTGGCTGTTGACTATAGTCGGCACTCGTACCGAAGAACTGAAATGCCTTCCAGAAACCCCACTATTAGAGCCCTTTTGGGGACACTCCCAGGCAGGCACTGGGGCTGGAAGCTTGGAGCTCTCAGTGGCACATTGAAGACACCTGCCATCCATCCACATGATATCAACAAATCACAAAAGGGGTCACACAGCTTTGTGCATCCAGTCCACTATATCCAGATCAGAAAACTTGAGGGGAACAAAGGGATGTCAAACAACAAAAACTCAATTAGTAGAAAACCAGGACTAGAACCCACTACAACATGTTCCAGTGCAGACCCAGGTTCTAGTTCTGTTTTTCCAAGACTGACTCGGGGCCAACGCTTCTTTTACATCGAGGTGCTTGCTACAATGCTGAGAGTTGTAGAGAAAAATCCAAAGACAGGCAGAACTCCTTTAAGAACCAATCTCTCATTTCTCCCTTCATCATTCCTTGTTTGTTTTTTTGTTTTCCAAATCAGTTATTAAATACACCCTTTGGGGATTGAATCTAGGAAGTAGTTTAAGACAGTAGTTAAAAGAGTTTGCTCTGAAGCCAGACAAATCCATGGTCAAACTCAGGCTCCCTGAGCTGTAAGTCACACATCACCTCTGAGCTTGTTTTCTCATTCATAAAATGGGGAGGGTAACAGCCCCTGCCTCTTGGGGTTAGTAATACAAGGATTATGTGAGCTGATGCCTCCAAAGCCTTGAGCATTGTACTTTCACAGGGCAGCACAAAAGCATGGCCACAAATGTCACCAAAGTTTACCCTCTTGCTAAAATGCTATTGGGGGAAGGGAAGGATAGGGAGAGATT